ATAGATTACCGCTTATGTACGGCTTAGCACATTGATGGCAAGTAGAGAAAGTGCAAGGTGCCTTCACAAGCTAGTTTCCGCCTTTTTTAATGTTTGACGACCCTTGATTTACGCGCAGCCCCCTTATCTTCCCTTTTCCCTCTTTTTTGGCAATCGAATTATGATCCATTCCTGTTGTGGACTGGGCTCTACTTCTACGAGTCACGGTAATGGTATTGCAGCGGTCCGATGCTTGCTTATACACCCCACAGGGTGAAAGTGGTGTGGTCTGCTTAATAGAAATAATTGATCGGTTGATTCCAGGTGTATTTCTGAGGCGTCGACTATTGATGGCGTTCTGGAAATCCGTTCTCGTCATTTCTGGCAATTGGACTTCGGGCAGCTGGTTAGTTTGGGGTATACCCTTTCTTTTTAGCCTTTTTAAGTTCCGTCATCCTTTTGAGTTGTCAGTCGGCTATTCCCCCTTACAGGTTGGAACTGTGGATGTTCGAGTTCGAAGGGACGCAGATGAACAAAATGTTCTAACTCTTGTCACAGATAAGATGTCATCCGTTGTTAGTATGCTGACAGTCCAGGTTTGTCCTTTTGATCAGAATAACGAGGATTTTGTTCCGAGTTTGGTTCACTTCCAGATAGTCAAAGACGCTGCTTGGCACACGGTCGAGGGAATGAATGCAGTTGGTTAACTCCTGATCTTTTTAGATTATATAATTATTTTCAGCATACATACAGGCTTGTTCGCTGCGGATGATGGGGCGTAGCAAAGAGAGATAGGTATGGCTTCACGGCGCTTTTCCTCTTGCCGCGAGTGGGAAGACTGCTTGTTCATATCAGGCATTTTACGCCGTTGTCGCTTGACGGTTCAGCACCCGGTGAAGGACGGGCTGGCAGTGCGCCAAACCTAGTCTCACTGACACGCCGCATCATCCGCAACGAACAGGACTGCATGATCTTTTGAAGGTTCAGGGTCACGAACATACCTATAACAACCCGCATATTCATGGTGACGGTCATAGCCATGACCACTCTCATGGCCACGATGATGGAAATCATGGTCACTCACATGACCATGATAGCGGAAATCACGGACATTCGCATGATCACGGAGGTAATGTCTCGTTATCATCGAGGACACTCCTTACAATTCCCTGAGGGGTGGGATCTCCCTAAAAGGACAAAATTGATGTTGTGAATGTGTAGCACTTTCGCGAATTGAAAGTGCGAGGTAGTGAAGCTGGAGGGTTACGACGCCTTGATGTCGATTCTATCTCCACCGCTGCGATACGCGATGCGAACGCCGCAGCCTTGCCAGAGCGCCAGTCATGTGTGTCACCAAGACAGCCTCTGTTGTACGGTTACGGGCAAGGTCGTGTGGCGTGCGTGGCGCATCACGAATAGTCTCAGAGATGAAGTGTACATTATGCTATCACAAAGTTAGTTGCATTGTCTGGCATTCTCGAATGACAGGAGTGCTACACTACA